GAATAGATTATTCAAAAGAGAATGCTGTTTTTATACATTTATTCAAAATGTATACATTTTTGACAATAAAGAATAGATTATTCAAAAGAGAATGCTGTTTTTATACATTTATTCAAAATGTATATATTTTTGACAATGAAGAATAGATTATTCAAAAGAGAATGCTGTTTTTATACATTTATTCAAAATGTATACATTTTTGACAATAAAGAATAGATTATTCAAAAGAGAATGCTGTTTTTATACATTTATTCAAAATGTATATATTTTTGACAATGAAGAATAGATTATTCAAAAGAGAATGCTGTTTTTATACATTTATTCAAAATGTATACATTTTTGACAATAAGGAATAGATTATTCAAAAGAGAATGCTGTTTTTATACATTTATTCAAAATGTATATATTTGTGACAATGAAGAATAGATTATTCAAAAGAGTATGCTGTTTTTATACAGGGTGTATATTTATACAGCATTTTTAAAAAGTGCTTAAAGGTGCTTTTTTTCCATGGGTGTATTTAAAAAATGCTTAATTTTCCCTTTTCGGAAGTGTGGTATTTTTCTTTACCATCTTGATTTTCGCAACAAATTATGCAAAAAGACATTGTCTTATTCAACGTTTTCTCAATTAATTCTCAACTAATCCCAATCTATTTCAGCTTACCGCTGATCTGTAGTGCATGAAAACACCATTTGTTTTACATGTTTGATGGAATACTTGCGGGTCCGCACTTGCGTATACTGAGCTGGATTCAGTGGTAAAGATTTTTGACTATCATGTGCAACCCTGCTGCATTTTGCAAGATATTCTCAAAATCAGACTTTATTTTCTGATTATGGGCACCCACTAAACAGTGTCAATTTTTTTTCTTCTCTATCATCGATAGAAAATTTCATCGACGCGGTCTTCGTCACTGTAAATAAAACCGTCAGTTGTCAAAAACTTGCCAACCCTGTCTAATTATGATATTTTTCAAAGTGCTTAAAAATATTTTTTGAGTTCTTGAAAAGTGCTTATTTTTTGTTGAAAAATTTGGCTACGCACCCTGTTTATTCAAAATGTATCAATACACCTGTCGTATGTCATCAGTTTGTCATTCTTCAACAGAAAGGATTTAAACTTGCTTCATACAAAAAAGTGTGGAATTTTTGCAATAAATTTTTCTTTCATGAGATCTAAAGTGATTCTCGTCTACGCAGCGTCGATGAGCATCTAGTCCACAAAAAGTTTTAGATAACTTGGAATATCATTTTATTCTTTCTGAATCCGTATTTATTTTTTTCTGTTTTTCAAGTGTTTTTTTGATCGAATTTCACATTTCTGCGGCATGCATTTATAAATACTTTTAGTGTTCAAAGACTTTGCTTGATAAATCGTTTTGCATTTAGGATGAACGACATATTATTTGTAAGAAAGAGTCCCTCCTTGTCGTGGGAGGTTTTCCTCTTCATGAAACCTCAAACTCGGATAAACTACATCAAAAAGTCTAGTTTGCCCCAGTGTTTTATGAAGTATTAAGATGTTCCGCTAATGAAAATCCGATCCTAGGGACAAAAGTAATTCAGAGTAATATCTCAGTACTCCTATTGTCTGATACAAAATGATCCAAATTTAATCACAATAATAATGACAGAAGTACTCACCCATTTATTTTGGCTAAAAGATTTGCGTAGTAACTCTTTGGTTGTCGGATCCTAAAAAAAAAGATGACATCTCAAAAGAAATTGCATCAAGGAGAATGGAACATACATTTTGATCAAGTTTTACTCAAGTTTTACGAGGAACTAAATCATTTTAAATTGCAAAAACCTACTTTCTCTGAATGTTTTCGACGAATTTGAATTTTTGAATCTCAAAATATTGGTGGTTGCTGCAATGTTCTTGAATATAGGGTCGCACTATTTTAGACAAGAACGCTGTCGAAAGTTTGGAGCCCAATTTTACTTTTCACCATTTCAGATGCCGGGATAGCCTGGTCGGTAGGGCGCTGGGCCCATGTCCGAGAGTACGCGGATTCGAACTCCGCCGGCCGAAGACTCCCCGTGTAGTAAAGTGACTGATGCACGTTAAAGTGGTCGAGTCGCAAAAGTCCTCCATGTTCCCATAACAAATCAATACCACTGGGGGATTGGAGATGGATCGTTCCTCTCATTCAGGTCAAAATGAGGATCTATGGATGAATGGATGGGGGTGAAACGGGTGTGACGTATGGTGCGGCAGAAGTCGAATTCCTGGCCATAGATGGCGCCACTTGAAAACAAGAACAATCGCACCTGCCTAAACACGCATACGTCAACAACAACAACCATTTCAGATGGGTTGCATTTTTAAATTATTATGTGTCAAAAACTATTGAATCAGTTTCACTCAAATGTTTCGCTTTCGTCATTTAAAATAACATAGATTCCTTTCAAAACTTCTATTCATTTTTTTAACCATTATAAATTTAGTAATAAGAAAAAAATAAACATCGAAAGTAACTTTTTGTGCATCGAACTACTTTGAGATGAACGATTGTCAAGA